AGGTGGAGACAGGACTGGGCTCAAGAGCCAAAGTCCAATGCACAGCAGCCCAGATTCCCCATCGTGATCCTCCAGAGGACAGCGCATGCCCTATAAAGCACCTGTTTATTCCTGTAGCTGAGATGCTGCGTTGATTTTCAATGAACGTGAAATGAAAAACTGCACTTGCTTTAAATATTTTTAAGCATCAGTTTGACAAGCAGTTTTGTTGTACTTACCTATCAAGAATGTGGAAGCAGTTTTTAAGTTTAGAATGGTGGTTAGAACAGGAGAAGAGAAATTCTAGTGGTGTACTTGACATGGAAGTAATAAACGTGGCTATCTAAAGGGGACCACCATAAATCCATGGTCTAAAATTATATAGCTGCATCTTTGAAGATAAAGAATAGGTGCTAGCTCACTTGTGCATGCATGCTCGCTCTCTCTCTCTCTCTCTCTCTCTCTCTCTGTGTGTGTGTGTGTGTGTGTGTGTGTGTGTGTGTTTTGGAGAGCTGAAAGTGGTCTTAAAACTCCCCTCAAGTCATTTTCACTTTTCATTTAAAACACAAACAAAAACATGGTCTATATCCAGCTTCAGAAAAAGGGGCCCTTTTCATTTAAAAATGCTTTCCGTTACAGTTGGGTAACATGTCAGTTCATGCAAACAAAGAAAGGCAATAAAAGGGTGTGTGTGTTGTGTGATGGGGTGGGGGGGGCGGGGGGGAGACAGTCTCTCACAATCTCTTTGTTGGCCTGCACAGTGGCAGGGATCCTTTCAGAAGAAGTTAGCAAGGATGCCTTTCTTGATCAGCAAAGAAGGGAAAGGCAATAAAACTCCATGGAAGTGTTATAAAGTGCTTGCAGTTCTTAAAGGCTGTGCTTTAAAATGCTCTGGGTGGCAGAGGGTTTCAGTTGCAGGGTTATTGGTAAAAATAGCTGCTTTACATCGACTTGACGTTTCTCTGGGGGCTTTTGTCTTTATGAATAATGTACTCCATTGCCAGCATTTCTCTTAGAATGTGCCTGGAGGAGGCTAGCTGAATTTCCATGAATCCTCACGTCATAGACCAAGTTGCACATTGTAAATCCCTTCCCTTCTTTCCCTCCATGCAAACGGTTTGCCACACTGCCTTCCCTCTCTAGCAGGCTGAAGGCCATTCTTGAAACACTGGGAAGGTCTGGTTGGCCAAAATTTTACTTCATTCTAGAACTCCAACCCTGGAGAACCACTCTTGCTGCTCTTGGGTGCTCAAACAGGAAGCTTTAGGCTTTGGGACCTGACAGAGTAAGCTACCATGAACTGTGCCAGGGATGCTTGCATTGCTCTCCTGGGCTAGAGGAAAACTTTATGCATTCTTAAAAGCCTGCTTCAATGAAGAGACAAACTGGATGAGTTTCCATATTCTTCCTCAAACCAGAGAAGCACCACTATGCTTTGCATGGGCAGGAGAAAAATTGCACCGCCTCCCCAGCTGGACAAAACTCTTGCCATCCAAGCACAAGGTGGGCTTAGTACTCAGAGATCTAGTATATTGACTGCCTGGTTACAGTACGTGATCCCCAGCTGCTGAACCAGGAAGTCCAGCCTCGGGATTCAAGCAGAAAGTGCAGGGACGGGGCCATGGACGAGTACCCGCTTAGTCTATGGGAGTGGGCGTCCGGTTCCCATTTCTTGAATCCCTCCCTGCAGTGCAGTAGGGCAAGATCATTCCACTTGGTTGTACAGGGCAAGAATTAAGAGCCCGATCCCCCCAACAACAGCCAAGTGCTTGGGGGGCAGCCCCAGTGGAGGACCAGTTAGGGCAATCACTCTGTTATGCTCAACTGGCTTTCTCCCCACTCCCACCCCAAGTGAAGATTCTCCAGATCTAGACTTGGCTAGGTGTGCCACCGCCCCCTCACCTGTTCTGCAGCTCTGACCTTGTGTGACAGGCATGTACCATAATAGCTTGAGTGTCAATGTTATAAATTTCTTAGCAGCTCTTAACTCGGTGATTTCTTCACTCCCTTCCATCATTTGGGTCTTTTCAGATAGAGGGCTAATTACTTCTACCTGTCTTGCTGCGATGGGAATAGTATTGAGACATATTTAAAAAATGCTAAAGAAAATGCTCGCCTGTGACTGCAAAGAGGATAATTGTATGCAGTTCCTTTCTGAATTTCAGTAATTGCAAGTGCCAATGGTTAACTATTATTTTTATCATGGGATGGTGTCAAGGGATGCAAAACCGTAGAAAGCTCAAAGATAGCTTGTTCTCAGAAACATTTAAGTGTAGTAAGTCTTAATGTGCTCCCCCTTTGGTGGATCCTTGGTCACCACAGCCAAACAAATGGTACAGATGGAAAGTTGACAGATGTGCCTTATTAATGATGGTAGTCATTAGCTGACTGGATACCTCTCTCTTCCCTCTCCCCTGCAGCTGATAATCTCTTTGGCCAGGGATTTACATTGGGAAAGCAAGTGCAAGGGAGAAAGGGTTAAATCTCACCACAGAATCTTATATGGGAAACTGCCTTATAATAATTCAAGCTCTCCATCTCAGTATTGACTAGGCTAGGTGGACACACAGGGACTCCGCAGAGACTGTAGCTTTCTAAGGTTTCAGCCAGGGAAACACCTTTTCTGTCATTTGCTTCCTGGTCCTTTTTCCTGGAGATGCCAAGGATGGAACCCAGGGCCTTCCGCACACACATGCATGCCAGGGAGCTGCAGTCCATCCACGTGCTCATGTTCCGATCCCATCCTCTGCACTGCTAGTTGCTAAAATGCCAGTCTTAATGGACCTTCAGCTTATCAGTTTACCTCTGGCCTGATCCACAATATCAGTTATTTTGTGATTTCCGTCCCCTGTCTAGATAGACTGACTTTTTCAGCTGCATGCTGGAGTTGAGAGAGCTTAGGAGAAGGAAAGGACAATGGGTGCCAACAGTTTGATCGTGCAGACTTTTAAAGTAGGGGAAGAAAGGGTTGTGGGTCAGGTCTGGGAGGAAAGCAGCCAGGCAGTGCATGAGAGAAAAATAGTACAGGTAGGAATAACAGGCAAGCACATACTCACCAACTGTAATCTCTCCATATATTTTCCTTTTGCTAATGCACAGAGAATTTATACCCATTAGAACAGCATCGCTCAATGTTTTTATGAACAAAAGCATTTGTATGATTTCTAACAAATACCGTCATATTTTAAGGCATATAAGCACTGTTTCAGTTATGCTCGTTCTACAGCTCCTGTTCCTGTGTTGTCTGATCACGATAAAAGGGTGGGGGGAAATAAGCTTGCTGTCCTGGCAATTCTTCTTTCCCACCTCCCAGGCAGACCACAACAAAGGCTTTCTAGCTAAAAGGCTGTATTATGTTAAAGCAGACCAGTGAGGCAGTACCAGTGAAGGGAATTGCAGAAATCAATAAGAAAAACAGCCAAAGTCCAAGTAGTGGCCAGCAGGGAAATGTGGCTTCGTGATAAGAAGTTGATTCTAAATTGAATACCCTCCCTCCCTTCCAAATGGAGCCAACCGTGCCTTCAAGGCAGTTGTTTTGCTGAAGCGTCAATGGACCTCATGCTTTTTAGCTGGTCCATGCTCTTAACTTGATTCCGTATCCTCCAGTGAAGGGGCTGGGTCCAATGCCCTCCACATTTGCATGCCCGCTGTACTTTCCCACAGTATTTGAAATTTTCTGATTCTCAGCAACTGCCCAGCTTATCTTTGGGTCTGCTGGTCCTGGCATTTCAGCTGCAGAATTTACCCCTCCTCTTTAGTGAAGTCATAACCTATATCCTCAACCTGGAAAACTCTTTTATAGGAAGGGTGGGCCCAATTTGGGAAAAATTCTCATCCTTCCAAGTTTGCGAGAAAAGAGGTGAAGCGCCAGAGGTTAGTTTTCATTGTGCTGCAGTGTTGCTCCCACTAGAGCGACAGCAAAGCCCTTGTTCCTAGTGGAATTCTTCTGCTGTCTCACATTCATCATGGTAACCCCCAACCTCTGAAAAATAAGAAAATTCCTCCCAGCCCCAGACGAGGACCTCCACGGAATGCCAGACATGCAAAAACAAGAATTTAATTTAATTTTTAATGTTATTTAATTTAATTCTGTACTGCCCATTAGATGAAGCTCTCTGGACAATTTACAACACATAAATGCAATTTTAAAATGAATATAAAATACAGGTAACAGTTAAAAAATGAAAATTTCACCACAAAATGTAAAAACCAAATTGAAAAGCATATTTTAACAACTGCAACAACTAGCATAAATGAAAACAAACAAATATAAAATGTAAAAATAAAAAACTGAAATAAAGATCACATGCTTTTACAAATGATATAATGACAGAAGCAATATGAAATCAAGCACAGACAGGTAAAACAGATCAAATTGAATCAACATCTGAAAAGGTTCTTCTCTGAGTAACAAAACTACTCCACAGCAGAGTCTGTGTTAGCTTCTCAGGGGAGAGAGTTCTGTAATCAGGACCACTAAGCAGGTCCTAGAGAGGCAGCTACCTACCGCATTTTGGAACCTGGTGAAATGCCTTCATCAAATGCTTCAGATACTCTTTTATCCAGTGGACTATTCTTATGACATCTGTTCTGTGGCACAGGGATCAGTCTGAGAGATTGTACTTCATACAAGGCTAGCTTGTAGAGTTCATGGAAAATGAACAGGGATGTGACTTTCTCCCTGCTCCAAAATCGTGGTGGTTTGCACCTTGCTCCATAAAGCTCATTTTATTGCAAAGGTTAAGGTGGTGATAATGAAGCTGGGGCAGAGGTCTGGCAATTGTTACAGCTTCTCATAATGTAAATTCATAATGATTTAAGCCATCTTGAGTTCATGAAAAATGGTGAGCTATAAATCCAATAATCAATAAATAAACTGCAGAAGTGTTTCACATTATTTGGATTCCACTAAATGGTCCTGAAGAAGTTCTAATGAGTGTGTTGAACTCTATTTCTTGCTTTCTCATCTTACCAAAAAAAAAAAAAAAATAGACTGAGTCATTTTTGTTGTTTACTTCCAGGTCTCCAGTTTCTTCAGAGGATCAAGGTAAGAAGCCATTTTCATTAGTGTGTGTTAAGTGGTGTATTAAAAATTGAATTAGGAGAGGAGCAGTCAGAAATCTACATTATAGAATTCCTTTGAAGCATGGGAAAAATACCATCTGATGCAGATGGTACATTTCTTCCGTGATTTCATTCCATGTTGTTGTACTAAAGCCCTATCATAAACCCAGCTCAATAAACATGAATTTTATGCATGCAAATGGGATATGATCTGTGTTCTTCATCACCATGAGATATTGGCCTGTAAGAGAAAAAAAACTGGATGGATAATAATACTAAGCAAGCATGCATTTAGGGTCTTACTTCTAATGTTTCTAACAGGCAAGGCAGTATTATTTTCCCCACATTGCAGGTGGTTCCATAAGGCAGGTCGGCAGAAGCCGAGAAAACAGAGGCTGACTTATGTGTCTATGGCCAAGGCAAGATTCAACTCAACAATTATTTATTTGCACAAACGATTCATCTCAGCCTTAGGCAAGACATCAATTTTTCACACGCTGTCCATAAAACACCCCAAGATGGCTATAATCAATGGTTGAGCTGCGATGATCATTGTTTCTATTAACATGAGCATGTGTAATAAATTAAGATTGCTACTTGGTTCACCAAACTGGGTTGCTTCAGCAGTTTTGGGTGATAGCAAATATGCCATCCCTGAAAAAGGGGTGGTATTTATTGAACAGGGACCAAGGTCAGCTGAATGGGTTTGGCTGGGGATGGGACAGAAGGGTGAGCACTGAATTGACCTTCAGTTATGTAGCATGCTGAGCAGTGTCAGAAGCTCCTGTGTGAAATGGTTTGCTGTTGCATGAATAAGGATGGAGAAATTTATATTTATTTATACTTATCTTGTGGTCCCTCAGAAGGATTCAGTTATGATCAGGGCAGTCCTGTATGCAAGAGGGTGGTGTTGTTTCTTCTCAGTCGTTTGTTCAGTAGCCTTCCCAACCTAGTGGCCTCCAGATGTTTTGAACTATAACTCCCATCATCCTTGAAAATTGGTCAGGACTGATTGGGCATTATGGGGGTATATTCTAAACAATCTGTAGGGCACCATGTTTCAGACAGCTTTAAAATAAGGAAACACATTTGTTAAAAATAATTGCAGGTATCAATATGAGTGCCAAGTAATCTCCATTGTGAGGAATACTAGGAAGTTAAAACTAGTTTTCTGAGGAGCAGAACAACAAGGTTTGTGAAGCACACTGCTCTAGTCTACTGTATGGTAGGAGTTGTATCCAGCATCTAGACTGAGGAAGACTGTTCTGCTCCGAGTGCCTAGCAGCAGTTTCCCAAAACTCCATCAGAAATCTTTCCTGTAGGGCAATTGTAGGAGTGTCTACTCATAAGTAAGTTGAATGGGGCTTGCTTACAGGAAGGTGGGTTGCAGCCTCACTCTGGCTATCTTTGATGCTTTAACAGAGATGCCTAGGTTTGAATCTGAACCTTTCATGCCCAAAGACTCTAAGTTGTGGCATCCCTCTTTTCCATGAGTGGAGCTGAGGACTGCTGGTGAAAAAGCAAATGTAAAATGGTTTCAAAATGCTCCATTCAATGGGTCTTTCATGGCAGAAGCAGTGGTTGAGCTGTGCCCCAAGTGTTAGGCTAACAACAATCACCTTTCAACTGTTGATACACCATTTCACAAAATTAAGAGAAGACAAGCTGTTCCCTCCTCCATAACCACAGCTGAGTGATGGTAATACAGCTTATTTCATTTTGATCCTTTGCTAAAATGTGACTCAGTTGTTTCTCATGCTTCAGAAGAAATATTACATTTTAATAGAATGCACTAGGTACCAGTATCAAACTACTTGTCAATGGGCAGCAATTTTTTTGGCCAGGGTTAAAAGTTTTCCTTACGTTATCTTGTTACTTTGTCATTTTATCTATTAATTGAGTGTCAGGCAGCATATGAAGCACTTCCTTAAAGATCTTAATTTGAATCTCCAGTATCTGCCTTTACCATCTGCCTTTCTTTTCTGCTTTCACTGTTTTCCTCCATCACACAAATCCATCTCATGTTCCATTTACCAGCTGTGCCTCTGTGACCAGGGACCTGTTCTGCAGTTTGATCAATATCCCCAACCACTCCACAACTGTAAAAAACATTTATGAGCATACTTTGAAATGGAGAATCAAAGCCGCAAGCACTCTTCACCTATCATACCAAGGACATTAAAAGCTTCTGTTTAATGACAGTGAAATAGCTGATTGAGAAAACGTATTATAGTATATAAATGTGGCTATAAGCTAGAGCAAGAACTGAGACTTCTTTCCTTCCAAGGGCCATTTTATGAAGCAGCAATATCAGGCTTTCAGAACTGTGATCTTGCAACAAGAGAGGAACTTTCCTGAAACTTATCTCTGCTAACTTAGGTACATATCAAGTTGCAAACTTCGCACTCCCCTGTATGGAAATCAGTGTATGTTTTTGTAAAAGTAGACGTTTTACATGCCTTTTTTGCCAAGTAAGCATTTTGCTCCCATAAAGTGTGTTTTTTTTCAAGTATATATATTTTTCATTGCACATTTTTTCAGACCTACATTTCTTTTGAATACGGTTTTGGGAGTGCATGGGTCAGTCAGTCAAAATTTATTGAATAACTCTTCAGACCATAACAGAATAAACACACATTAAACACAGACAGTGGCTACCTAAACTTTAAGGTAAAAGACTAACACATGCCATCTAAAATTGAAGTAATAATAAAATATTAAGATTCTCTAAAAGATAAAAAGACTAAAAACACACCTTTTAATAAAATAGGTCTTGTACTCCCACTAAGACTATATTTTTTTTAAAGTAAAAAAACTATTGCACATAACTGTTAAACATTCATTTAATCAGGCATTTTCCCCTACCTTCTATTCCTTAAAAGCGGCCTTAACTGCAAAGAGTACAACCCCCTGGGTCTCAGACTGAATCATTCCTGGAAGAAAAAGTTCGGTGTGCCCTCAGCTTCTTGATTTCTTATATGGTCAAGAAATGGAGACAGGCAGAATTCCCTGCAGATGGCATACAGCCTGCATTTCAGAAAATAAGGGGGCAGACCTTCCACTTTTGGTGCCCCACACATACAAAGTCTATCATGCCCTTGTGTACCTTGGGGTCACTCTGTTCCATCTTGCTATCCATCTGCCTGAATTGCAATTGAGTGAAGGCCAAACACTGATCCCTCTTCATTGGGAAGGAGAGAGACTTTTCCACTTGAAATTGGGTCTTAGACCTTGGCAGCTATTTCATAGACTTGTGTTTGACAGTGCAGCTAGGTCTACCTGTATTTGTTTGCAAATATTTCTTCGGTTAATCCTGAAAGCACTTACAGCCTCCAAAGTAAAACCATGGCTTCACAGCCATTTTGAAAAATAAGGATTTTCCTAAGGTTTTGGTCATCTGCTCATTCAGACATTCCTAAGGTAACCTCGGTCACTCATTGATCTCACACCAGGACACCTAAGATGAATAAAGTCTGAGACTGCTTCTATTCCAAATTTGCTTCTAATTAAAGGAGCCAGTGCTGTCTGGAAGCACCTAGAATTGAATGTCAGAAGCAATTCTGAGCACTTTCAGTTTTGTTATTATTGATAAAGCCCCACATTTCTGGACCAAAGGTCAGAACTGGCAACACCTTTGTCTTCTACATGCATGAGTCATATCGCAGACTCCTCTGATTGCAAATTGCATTTTGTCTAAGTTTGGTCCAGAAAGGAACAAATTGAGCAAGCTCATCAAAGCTGATGAACCAATATAATTATTTTACATCCCTATTTGTAGGACATGTCATGCAAGGCACTTTAACAACAAACCTGACATTTTAGTCAGTGGAGATGAAACTTCTGGGTACTCATGTTGTGTTTTGTTTTGGAAGCTGCTTTTATAGGAAAAAACCCAGAAGCAATCTTTTCAAGCAGGTAAAAGAAAGCTTGTTTTTGAGAGAAGGAAAAGCATAAGAACCACAACATGGCTTGATTTTAAAATGCTCCTTAGGGGCAGGAAAAGAAAGAACTTGGTCTTCTTTTTCAGAAATCTCCAGATTTTGAGCTTACCTATTCTTCTTTGTTTTTCTACTTTTGTGGCCATGGTAGTGGGGATATTCTCCTGCCTCATTTAATTCCAAGTATTGAACAAATAATAAAATAATAAAAGATGACATTTCTCTCTGTTTCTAAGCAGTGGCTTCCAGTTGTGCCACTATATTTTTCTAGTATTTCTAGCTTATATTTTTCTAGTATTTCATACAGACAGCTATACTAAGATTTTGGAAAATGCAGAAATGTATGTCATTGTGCAATCAAAAGGCAGAATTCCATGTGTTTATTTGATGGAAGTACTGCATTCAGTGGGACTGAAAGCCAGAAGAAGAGCCCTGATGGATTGGCCGAAAGGTTGATCTAGTCCAGTAGTCTGTGCCCACAAGGGTCTCCCAGCCTTCTGTGGCAAGCCCACAAGAAGAACCTAACTTCCACGGTCTTCTTCAGCAACTGGAACAGAGAGGCACACTGACTCTGATGCTGGAGGTAATGTATAGCTGTGATAAGCAGTAGCCATTATTATCTATGGATTTTCAAATTCCCTTTGAAAGTCATCTATAGTGGTGGCCATCATTACACCTTGTGGCAGTTTAACTATGCACAGTGTACTTGCTTTTCTCCGGAATCTTCCACCAGTCAGTTTCATGGGATGGCTCAGGTGATACTGTTATGAGAAAGGAAGACAAATGTCTTCCTATCCATTTTCTCCATACCATACATAATTGTGTATACTTCTTTCATGTCTCCCCTTACTCACCGTTTCTCTCAGCTAATGTTTTAACTGTTCCTCACAGGGGAGTTGTCCCAGTGTCTTCTTCATTTTAGTTGCCCTTTTCTACAGCTTTCCCAGCTGTGCATTACCCTGAGGTGTGGTGACCAGAAATGCATACAATATTCCAGGTGTGATCTCAGCATAGATTGACTCCCAGTGAGATTTACTCCCGTTAA